ATGTTTTAATATGGAGTTAATAAATTTTTTTGTGAACTTGCATAAGTTAGAGATGTAAAACATGTTTTATCATTCTAAATACTAAAAAGGTAGCAATTCATAAAAGCAATCAAAAGACTCTTCTTTGTGCATTATTAGTAGTTTTATCTTCCCAATTTTAATTAGTTATGCTTGCCTTTTTGTGTATTTATTATTGTCCACCCACATAGTAGTCGGTGTCTAAATTTTCTATTAACATATCATATAATCTTCATGGTGACCATTCAGGTGCATTTTCAAAGGCCTCAGCCTCTCTCACATTGTTTAACATTCTATTCAATTAAGCTTTTTTTTTTTTAATGGAGCATTTGGAAGAAGATGGGGAGTAATTGATGTAGATAGGGAAGGAAATTCTGAATATAAAGGAATATTAAATTGTCAGTAATATTTACCTACTATCTATCAGAATTTATATTGTTCAATAAAGATAAGCTTCTTTGTCTTTGTGATTGATGAGCTGAATTTATATACATGTTAATAGGAAATTTTTACTTTGATTTTATTGATATTTGGATGAGTTTTATGGGATTTTATTTGATTTTACATGGTTTTCATTCTTTGTATAGGAAAGGATTTAATTGGAAGAAATCCTACTTTTTAGAAGTAAATTGAAGAGATCAGAGACTTGAGGATCAACTTGTGTAGGATCCAGAAGTCAGGAACCAAATCTGCTATTTTACCATTGAAGAAATTGCAAAGGAGACCAGAAACCCGACACGGGTGTAGTGTCGACACCATGCGTTAAACGTCCAGAATCAGATTCTGTTTCCTATTTTGTGTCAACATGTAATCCGAAGTGTCAGCACTCAGCACCATGCGATCAGCATCCAAAATTCAGTTTCCTATTTCTGTTCCAAGTCCTACTTCTATTTCAATTAGGGTTTCTAAAATCCTATAAATACCCATCCAAATTCAGAATTGATAGAGTTTTGAGAGGCTAGTGGCAGCCCTCTTTTGGGCATTATTGAAGGTCAAGATTGAGGTTCCATCAACGATAAGAGATCAAGGAGTTCGATTTCCTCAAATTAGGTTTTGTTTTTCCTTGGATTTTTATCTATTGTTTGATATTTGAATGTTCATAACTTTGATTTCATATTTTATTATTTTTATTATGAACTGATTTATTCTACTAGGGTTACGATGTAACATAATCAATTCAATATGGATTTAGTGATTTTATACTTTCAATTAAAATTATTTGCATGAGGAGTTTATATTATTGAACTTAATGCATTGGAAGTCTGATCATCTTTCAATTGATTTAGTGATTTATGCATGAACTTGAGAAAGAATTGCGTAGATTAGACCAATAATAATATAAACCG